TTTATCTGGTAAAGTTAATTTCTTATTTAGTTATTTGTCTCCCTTTCTAATCTTTTATATCTACCCATCAATCTCTCTCTATCTCTTTCGATTCGTCTCTCTATATGTATTTCTCTATTAAACTATCTTACTCCCGGTTAAGTCTCTGTCTCTCTCTATCTCTCTCTCATTTCTTTCTCGCTGTCGTTCTCACTCTCCTTTTAAAATCCCAGATAGTGTATAAAACACATCCGTAAGAGATCTGTGAAATGGAATATGAAATCGTGGCAAGTTAACAGGCCCCTCGTGTTAGTTTTCAAGAATGATGTACATAGTACATATATGATGGTGCTTTGTTTAATTCTCATTTACAGCCGCTTGACACTTGAGTCGCTGACAAACAAAGCGGATGGCTTCCAAGCAGCTGGCCCCTTAAATTATGAATGTGATATGCACACCTCCCAATTAGGTACGTTCTAGCTAGAGCATTCTGTTTTGAGGCACCCTTATTCACACGCCGGCCCGCCGCTCCGCTGCCCCGTTCGCCCCTTTGAGTCACTCGCCCCGCAGCCTACCTTTGAGCACATCTTGGCAGACTCCAGACGAGGGCGGCGTGTCATCTCCGCACAGGCAACGCATCTTGAAGTCGCTGGGATCCTTCACGCAGCTGGTTCGTTCTGTTGTCGAGCAGTCGTCGTTGGTGTTACATTCGCGACCCTTGACTGTAAAGTAAACGAGGAAATTAGCAGCAAATTAATTAATACAACGATTAATTCCAATACTCTAACTATTAATTCTAATTGGCCGAAATACGCCCGGTAGTCGCTGTTGGTCTCTGCCCCGCCCCGATGCCTCCTGCTCCAATGACAATTTGAGCGGTTTGCTTTGCTATTAGCGCTGTTGTCATTGCACTTGACTGACTTGTTTGATCAATTTCTGATTTATGCTGGCCCTAAGGCTGGCTGAGCGATGGTTTAGTTATAGTACTTAGCTATGAGCTGTGAGACATGCCAGACACATGGCATGTCATTAGCCGCCTCCATTTTCCGCCGTACACGGAGCATGAGTCATTGGGGACTTGAAGTCGGAGTAACGCTTATTAGGGAACTACGATTACCATTTAATACTATTGTCAATAGTGAGATTGGATATCAGATCTGATTTTTGTGTCGGAGAACGCTGAATACGTAAATGAACGAAAGCAATCGTGGTTATTTCTATAGTGATTATGTGATGGTCGCCAATTGAAATATATTTCTTTTTCAGCATTCTCTATTCACAGGATGGTTTCAGCATTTATGCTGTATTTCATTCGTATTTATTGCTTGTTATTAAAATAAAAACTTCTTATTTCCTACTCATTCAAAAATATTTCACTTAGACTTGTTACAAGAAATATAAATTCTACTGAAATTATATGATCCTTAGAAAAGGTTCTCAGCAACAAATGAAATAAAAATTAAGCACAGAGGAGCGAACCTAAATACATTTGAAGCATTATTGCAGAACTTTAAAAATGTCGACAGAAAAAAAAATCTATAAATTCTACTTGACTGATTCATTAAGACTTATGTGAACACAATAAATACAAAGTTATTTGGATAAGGTCGAAATTTCTTGAGAATCAAAACTGTAATTATAATGTATAGTCACTTGATTATATAATTATATAAACATATAAAGCAAATTATAACATTATGATGTTCTTGTAATATAG